TCTCTCTCTCTCTCTCTCTCTCTCTCTCTCTCTCTCTGTCTGTCTGTCTCTGTCTGTCTGTCTGTCTGTCTGTCTGTCTGCCTAAAATCCCCGTACTTGGAGCAAAAAAAATGCGGGATCTAAGACAAACAGGATTTTAGCAGATTCATCATGGGGAGAATGGAGGGACAATCATGATCAGGCTCCCAATTGGTAAAATGATTCTCCCTACTTTGATTTGATCCCTTGGTGGGTTTATGACTTTTGGCGAGCAAATAGTGGTTACCTTTGATGACCCATCAATCACAATGTCATGAGGTGTACCATTTTCACATTTCCAATTGTCTGTCTCAAGACAGATCTATGCTGATCCGATTGCTCCTCCACCCTTGTCTAAAATTTATAGCTTTCCATCTTTGACTGAGATCCCCGTTCATGCCGTTATGCACTTTTATTGTAGTGTAATGCATCTATTAATATTCAGTGTTGTTTAGCAAATTCGAGTATAGAGAAGAAGGACAACTATGATGGACAGGGAAACAAAGCACAGAGTTCACAGTTAAATGTGATCCCGCCTGATATGACTTTGTAGGCCTCACTTACAAAGCGTGTGAAATAAGTTCAGACAATAAAATCAAATGTGAGTATAACGTTTAGGAAAAACAAAGACACTGATGAGTTTACTCCCCGGTGTGATCCCGTCTGGGGCAAACACTGTACTCACTCATTGAGATTTATAATGACTCAAAGGGCAGCAAAATAAACCAAATTACCACTGCTTGGTTGATCAGCTGTTCTTGCCATGGGGTTTTGATAGAAAATTATGATCTGAAATGTGGGATCTGCACCGAATGAAGTCCTTCAGAGGGGGGTCTTATTCTTAGGGGTGCCTTTTGTGTTGTAAAAATTCTGTTTTCTTTAAACAGTGGGATTTTAACCCGGATGGTAAGAGGAGGCATGGGATCTTAGGTGGAGGCTATTGTATATCTCAGTGACAGACTTTTTACACAAATTTTTCTCCTCAGAGAATTACAAAGAATTTCACAGATGGTCGTGTGACAACTACCCTGAGTTTTGGGAAGAAGTTTGGAAGTTTACAGATGTCATTCACTCTAAAAGTTATGATGAGGTAATTCATGAATATTTTGTGTATTGATTTATCAAATGTGTGTCATTGCAGTGAACTCAGCCTCTTATCAAAATTATTAAACCAAAGGAACTGACGTTTGTCTGCCAATTGGGCAGTTTTAATCAAAGATTTGGTGCTCAACACCTTTCATTTCCGGTTAAAAACACATTTCAGTCATGTCGATTTTTTGCGAAATTGTTGGTCTAAGGCACAAAAAATGTAAAATTAGTTTCCAAGGACTCTGGCTTTGGAATTGACCAAACTTTGATGGCAGTTTGCTCGCTTATTTTACTTTTAACACGAAGTGGCCCCCACCATCTTAAATTATGTGTATTTTTTACATCAAAAGTAAGACAAGTGACCAAGTTTTAAGATGATACCAATTACTCTATATGTCAAAAAGTTGCCTGAGCGCTTTATTGCACCATGTCGTGACACAAATTATAAACTGTATTATGGTGCAAATGTTACATTTTTGGGAAAATTATTGCCTAAATTATATGAAGGGATGAAATAGACTGTCTTGGGGATTTTGTTTGTTTATTTGTTCTCTGTGATTTTATTTGAGTTTTGTACAACTTTTAATTTAAGCGATTGTGGTAAACTTTTCTTTCTGTTTTCTTTATCTTTGTTTGAGGGCTTTCTCTGTAACCTATTTATATTATGACAGGAGTAGAAAATGTATTTATTTATCAGTTTGGTAAAGGCAGTTTTATTCAATCATTAATTGCTTGAGATATGTGAGGCGGCGTGATGAAATCAGGTGCTCGTCAAAATACAGAAATCGGAGAAACAGTATTTTTCTGCCAGTTTGGCAACTTTTATCGAATTTTTTTATTTTGGCTTAACCTCTTGTATGTCTGTATAAAAACACATTTCCATGTTAATTTTACTGAAAAACATTTATTAAAGGCACAAAATATGTAATTTTTCTGTTTTCAAGGACTCTTTATCTATTGGAGTTACCAGACTTTGGCGGCCATTTTCTCACTAATTTCTCCATTAAAACAAGGCGACCTCTCTTCCTTCAATAGCAAATATCTTCAGTTCTGTTCAAGATAAATGGATATTTATTTTATTGAAAGCAAGGCAAATAAATCAGCTTTCAGATGATACCAATAACTCCACGTAACTCCACATGCCCAAAAATTGACGAGCGCCTGATTCCACCACGTCGTGACACATATTAATTTATGATAATAATTATTATTATTATGATCATTATCATTATTTTTATTATAAGGTAGTCCTGACTTGCGGTCAATAGTTTCAACTGCATGAGTAGCAGGGCTCTTAATTTTCACATGCAGATAGTCCAGAATGGTTTCTCATGATTTTTAACTTTTGATATTTTTGTCTACTTTTTGCTCAGGTTATTGATCGGAAGAAGACAATCGCTGATATTCCAGAATGGTTCCATGGCACCCGACTAAATTTTGCAGAGAATCTACTCAGATATGATGATGACAGAACAGCCATTTATGCCTCAGGTATGTGGTAAACTTAAAAAGATAATTATGAAGAAGTATCTGTATACAGTATTCTGTTCGCAGTTGTATGTCCATTGACTGATTTTTTTTTAAAGAGAGAAAAACAAAAGAACAGCAAAATTTTATTTGGGGTCTGACTGCTTTTTTATGAAGTTTAATATTGTTGCCCTACTTTTGCTTTTCAACTTCATTTTTTGAACTCAACATGAACCAAACTACTGATCTCCAATTTCTTCTTCCTGTCCCTATATAAGAGACAGTTCACTATACTGCATCAAAGAACTACTTACGAAGACCGCCACCTTTTTCAACATAGCATTAGGCCAAAGGGCACATACTCAAAGGCTACTGGGTTAACAGCAACTCAAATTGAAAATGTTTAATGACTGGATATACCCATGTAGTTAAATAGAAAGCCCTCTCAGCATTATTTAAAGATGTTCCCCACTAATATGAATATGTATGAATTAATACCATTTTGATTTTTAGATATTGAGGCTTATAATTCATGGAAACTTTGGAATACTTGACGGCTATTTGACCTCAATTTGGCTTTCTGAGAATATCACGGAAGCTTTTGTTTTGATTTCTGTAAACAGTTAAAGCTGCTCGAACAGCCTGCTGTCTAAGACAGTAAACTATACAAATGATCACTTCCCGCTTCCCCCCTGTGTATTTCTTATATTATAATGACACTGTTACAGATGTCTACTTGTCTAAGACGACCACGTTTCTCCTCAACAATGGGTGGCTGTCTTGGACAATCTCGACTGTGTATTGAAAAAGTATAATGATGACATCTGCTGACATTTCAGGAGAGGGCCAGACAGAGGTGAGGCGGAAAACTTTCCGAGAACTGCGACAGTCAGTGGCTCAGTATGCAGCTGCTATGAGAAGGTTTGGGGTACAGAAGGGAGACAGAGTTGTAGGTAAGTGAAATCTTCGGGAATATAATTCGTCGTTTCTTTTTTTTTTTATTGGCCAATGTCTGTGTGTTTTTTGGTTATGAAGGAAAAGGAGTATTTGAAAATTGTCACACTTTTCTTTTTGTGTTACATCGTTCAACATCTTACGCCAGTTTATGTCCATAATATGTTTAGCAGTTCAGACTAGCACAGCAATGAAAGAGTTAAACTTGAATCACTTGGAAAGAGAGCATGTTAATATGGAGTAAAAGTACTTTCCTTTCATGCCAGAGTATGCTGTATTAATTCCTAATTCGTACTCTCTTGGTAAGTGGATATCTATTTGGGCCCCCATTCTTAAGGGGAGGAGTGACCCTTGATTTTGCCAATATTGGGTCAGGCTCTATGCAGATTGATATGTTGGCTGATTTTTGTAGATCAACCAGTTCTTTGTCTGAAAATATCTGTTTTTCTTCTACACTTATTGAAAAAAAACTCGCTGTTACACTGATAGGGTCTGGTTCTGGTACACTCTCACCGAATTTGTTCAAATTTGGTCAGTAAATAAGAAAGCCTTAGGGATTTGAAATTCATTGTTTATTTTCAAGATTACGGCCGTTTCCATAGCAACCACTGTAGTTATGCCAAAATAAAATTGCATGTAAAGAGATTTTACTATACCCAACTTATATGTGTACTTAGATTTGATCTCGGGCAACAAACATACAAAATGGTCCTCAAGGGTCACTCCTCCCGTTAAAAGTGGCTTTCGCGCATGATATATGGCGACTAAAATTTGGCCCCTCGGAGGGTGGAGACCTTAAGGGCAGTTTACTTTTACCTGTTAATTTGAGCTTTTTTCTCAGATTATACAATTCTCTGATTCCCATGATTGGTGGAAATGGGAATAAGAACCTTGTGTTCTCAAACATGGATGAAAAACTAAGAGTTTTAGAGATCAAAAGCGCTTGGCCATGTTTAAGTTATCCTAACAGTCGGAGGAGAGTAGACAAATAAGACTTGTTCTTTTGTATGAAAAAGATTGTCGTGTTTGTGAGCTCTAAAGTGGTGTGTGTTTAATTCAATAATACTGTTTGTATTTTGAATGGTTGTCATCTTTTGGCTTTTTTTTTCATTTTCATTCCTAATTGGTCCCTTTTAAGGACAAGCGGGCTAACCCAGATTTAGCGGGTTTCCAGAAATGTAGACCCACACCAAAAGTGGGCATTGCCCTATCTATAGGAGAAGTTTGGTTTCATTGGTGTGTATATTTGTTTGGTTATAGAGAAAACTCTCCATTGTCTTTCAAAGAAACTGAACAAGGGGCAAAAACTTTCAACTTCGATTTTTTCAAAACAGCATTTTTGGGATAGCCCCCTTGTGCTTAAAAGCTACCAATTAGAATATTTTTCTCTCAACTCAGTTTCGGTTTGGTTAGAGTTTTAAGGTGTTCACATCTACATTAGGTTATATGAGCACACTCTCTCAATTCTTGTTTATACTGGAAAAAAAAAGAACTACTGTAGCTATACATTTATCCATTTTGTCAACATCATTCCACCATCGCCGGAGTCAGTTTTTAGGGGATTCCAGATAAAGGTGTTATTTGAATAAAGACATCAAGAGGCATTTTACAGTATATTTTCTGTTCTGTCATTATTATTATTCACTTCCTAGCTTTTGACAGAAAAATAGCAAGTGGCCAAGTCATGGTTCTGATTTTGGGGCGCGCTTTAAAAATAAAAAAAAAATCAAAACTTTAAAGAAATGATGCAGGCACTTTTTGAATAATGCTTACAATTGGTAGTTTTTTTAAAAGTTAACATTTGCTTTGCTTTTTTTTTTCACCAGGCTACATTCCCAATTGTGTAGAAGCTGTGGAGGCAATGCTGGCAGCTTCAAGCATAGGTGCTATCTGGAGCTCCACATCACCAGATTTTGGAGTTGTGGTAAGTCCAGATTTGTATTCTCATTTGTTGTGCAATAAGACTGTACAAGAAGGGAGCGAACCATTACGGTGATCAAGTCAGTCATTTACCTTGTACTTGTTCCCTTATGTTGTTGGTGACCCCAGTGGGATCTGTATTGAGACCAGTGTTGTCCATTGATCAAGGGTGCAGGGGGGTGGTTTGTGCGTATGTGGCTTACATAGCCATAATTACATTTTGTAAGAAAATTGTGATGTATCTATGGTGGACCCGGATGATAAGTGGGTCTGATTTTCGTTACAGACCACTGTACTTCATGTTTCACACCCATAATTATATACCATCTTAACTCTAATTTCCCTGTGAACACACTGTAGTTAGCTCTGTTGGTTTTATAATGAACTAGTGTGTAGATGACCGTGGTTGGAATTCCCTGTGGGACATTCTTGTTCCTTGGTTGTCTAAAGGGTTTTCAAGTTCCTCTCTCTCCACTTTTGGTCCTGTCAGAGATGGATGTTTATTACTGAGGTCCGGTCTCTTGCATTTATCTGAAAGAGGTGTTGAACCCATACCAGTCCCAAAAGAGATGGAAATGAAGTTATCTTTTCTTTTCCTAATTTTATTGATAAATTTAATTTCTCCAGCACTAAAAACTGCCTTGATTTATGCTTTGTATCACTTTTATTTGCTCACTTTTTGTCTTAGTGGAGGGTAGATGATGTAAACCGCAGGATGGTCTTACTTCTTTATTTTCCCTCCATTGTTTCTGTCTGTCTGTCTCACGCCTTCCTTCCCTATGCTAGATGTCTGTTGTCATATATCAGTGTACTTCTCCTGTTTATTCAGACTGGAACTGACACTTTTTTTTCCTCAGGGAGTTTTGGAACGGTTTACGCAGATTCAGCCCAAGATTATTTTCAGTGTCAACGCGGTGCATTACAACGGGAAAGTTCACAGTCACATGGACAAGTTGCAACAAGTTGTCAAAGGTAGAGGAGTTTTTTTGTTTTTTTTCAGAAAAGAATTTGTAATGTCATCCTTTTCTGTGGGATTTGGGTATCTGGTGGGATCCATGACGATGAGATCTTGACAGAGGGGATTTTGGATTTAGAACAAAATAAATCGTAGAGTACTCTTTTTTTTGTTCTGCTTCTTTGGGAACCATCCCTTTTTTTTATTGCATGTTTAATGATAATTACAGTTGAGTATTTTAAAACAAGAAGCCAGTTGTAATGGTTCAAGAACTGTGTTAAAATGAAAAAAATTTACACTGAGGAACATACAATAAGCTCTTTTTGTTTTATCTTGTCTAATTTTCAGGTTTACCAGACTTGGAGAAAGTTGTGTTGATTCCTTTTGTGAAGGACTTTAAAACTGATGTGTCCTCCATTCCCCTTGGGTATGCTGTTCTTTTATACCATCTCTAATCTTTGGCGGTTAGATGACATATGGTGGGCTCTCATGGCCTAGAGGTTAAGGTGTTCACCTTTCATTCAGTAGGTCCTGCGTTTGAATCCGGACATCAAAATTTTCTCCTTTCACATCCTTTCCTGCTCTCTAATGATATTATCTGCTTTCGTCTCCACTGTCTGCCCCCACCCCCTCACCTCCTTTACTCCCTCCTCTGGGCTCCTAACTCTTTCTGCAGCTTTTCTACTGCTACTCCTTGGCTCTTCTTACTGGTGTCTATCAGCCACACTCCTGATCTTATGGTAGGAAAGATCTACACCTAGCCTTCTCGGACAAGGGTGAAAAATCTTGATGTCCCGTTTGCAAGTTGGGATTGTTAAAGATCCCTTGCTGATCCAAAGTCGATAAGAAAAGGCTGCGGCTGCCAACTGGACAAAATTCAAAATTTTCTACCGACTGAAAATGTTTAATACTTTGCGGTCACTTGGCACAATAATGCGATGGGGAAAATTATCTGCAGTCACTCTCCTGGTTTCGTGACCAGATGGGGTATTTTGTACTGTTGGCTGTGTGACTGCAAAGTGTTAATGTGTCCTGCATGCTCATATGACCTTATGCAGTTGCGAGCACTGTAGAACACTTGCCAAAAAACCCCCCAAAGATAACATTTTTGTGTTGCAAGTGGTTTAAAACTTGCCAATACTTAACTTTGAAAAATCTCTCGTAACACCTCTAAATCTTCGGCAATTATGTGACCTATTTGTGTTGCAAGTGCTGTAAAACTCTTACTAAAACTAAACTAAAGAAATCTCTAGTAACACCTCTAATATTTGGCACTCATTTGACCAATTTGTACTGCAAGTAGTGTGAAACTCTTTTTTAAACGAAAACTAAACTTTCTTTTCGTCTCCCTCAGCATCGCATTGGAAGAATTCCTCCAGGGCGGAGCGAAGGATGGCAAAGTGCCAGAGCTGTCCTTTGAGCAGGTTCCCTTCAACTACCCACTGTACATCATGTACTCGTCCGGTACCACAGGGGTGCCCAAGTGTATGGTGCATTCAGTCGGGGTGAGTTGTATGCTACATATTCCTGGAGTTGGTTCAATGTGTGGGTGTTGTGTTTTCTTTGCCGTTAGTGGAAGTTGAGCTTGCGGTACATTCTTCGTGTGTGTTAAGTGTGTTTGTTAGTGTTGTCGTTATTGTCAGTGAAAGTTGAGTATGTTATAGGTTCTTTGCGTCTGTTCTGTGCGTGTATTTGTTTTGTTGTTATTGTAAGTGTAAATTGAGCCCGCTATATATTTTTCTGGTTCATTATGTGTGTTTGTGTTGGTGTTGTCGTTATTGTCGGTGAAAGTTGAGTAGGTTGTAAGTCTTCATATTTGTTTGGTGTGTGGGTATTCTTGTTATTGTTGTTAGTGGGAGTTGAGTATTCTGTGTCTTCTTTGCGTTTTTGATTGTGCAAGTCTTTGTCATTTTCATCAGTTAAAGTTCAGTATTCTGTACGTTCTTTCCTTTCATCTTTTGTATGGGTATTATTGTTTTCATTGGAAATTGAGCTCACTTTTTTAAAAACAGTTTGGCTTATTGGGACTTCTTTTGTTGTTATGATTTGTTTTTGTGAAGTGAAAAAGGACAATTATTTGTCCATTATTGTTAACTCAATGAAAATGAGAACTTGTCTCTTCTTGCTGGGTAGGTGAACTTCATATCACTAATATGAAGAAGATGGTTGAAATCTCAGGCAGAGAAGAAAGAAAATTCGTGGATTAGACCCTTTGGATATGTGTTTCGAATTCCCTGGTATGTCAAGACATGGAAAATTGTGCAATCCCATAATGTACTAGATACATTAATGTGACATTAGAGGGGTTGATAAATACTTCTGGAATTTTGGAGTGTGTGATTTGCAGGCGCTGTTGTTGAGTGTGTCCTTATTTTCTTTCAAATACCTGTTGTCCTTATCTCTCCTTCTTTTCTTTGTTAGTTACTCTCTAGTAACTCCTTTACTGTTCAGCACTTATGTGACCTATTTTTGTTTCATGGGTTGTACTTTTACCTAAACTAAAAATGGATTTTTGGCTAGAAAATCTAAATGATTAAAAAAATTGTTTTGATGCCAGGGCACGTTGATGAAACACTTGGAGGAACACATTATCCAAGGAAACATGGACAGGAGTGACATCATGCTGTACTACACAACGGTGAGTGAATTACAGACGATTCTTTAACCCTCCATGTGTTGCTAACAAATGGTTGCTTTTAAGCACAAGTGGGCTGTCCCAAAAAATGCTGTTTTGAGAAAATCGAAGGTAAAGTTTTTGCCCCCTGTTCAGTTTCTTTGAAAGACAAGGAGAGTGTTCTCTTTAACCAAACAAATATACACACCACTGAAACCAAACTTTTCCTATAGGTAGGCCAATGTCCACTTTTGGCGTAGGTCAAGATTTCTGGAAACCCCTGAAATCTGGATTAGCCCGCTTGTCCTTAAAAGCAACCAAATAGCCTGTGGTGTCTGGGGAATGATATGATGTCGCCATATTATGTCGCGAAATTCTTGAGAATAGGTAAACCAAGCAAGTAAAGACCGTACACCGATACATTTTAAAAGCAAGATGTAAATAGGAAGTAGGGGTCATATGTGAAAGAGTTGAAATGTTTGGCGAAATAAAGAAAATGGATAAAGGAACCAAAATAGTGGGATGAAAGAAGCTATATACGGGCCGACAGATGAACTGAGCCGGATGGCCCAATTTGTGACAGATACCAGACTTCAAGTGTGATGTGATCGAGAAGAAGAAGAAGTGGGATGAAATTTGTAGATTCTCCTTTGATTCTAGTTTCCTCAAGTATATCTTGTCTTTTATTATTTCATACTTTTAAATTGGATAAACTCCACCTATAAATCTCGTATATCTATGTCCAATGGGACTAAAATCTGAGAAGTAACTCATTTTGTCAGTCGTGTCTCATTTAATATTATATTAAATCAAAGCCTTTCTTTTTTCAATCTCCAGGCTGGCTGGATGATGTGGAACTGGATGGTGTCTGTGCTGGCTGTAGGGGCTGCCATAGTTTTGTACGATGGATCGCCGCTCATACCCCACGTCAATGTTTTGTGGGACCTCATAGACACCGTTGGGTAATTTTTTTTCTGTTTATATTCTTCGTTGATGTTGGTAGTTTAGGGGTTAGGCTACCGAACTCATAATGGTGAGATTATGGGTTCTGAGGCTTAGCCCAATGTGACTTTGTGTCCTTAAGGAAGGTTTTTTTTTTCACTAATTTTCCCATTTTGCTCGGTCCTGTCAGAGATTGATATTTTATTTTAATTTTCCGCCACTTAAATGACCTAACATTTTGGAGAGAGCAACGGAGCATCAATTGACATGTCCGGAGTGCAGGGATGTTGCTTCCTGAAACAGTGAACAATGAACAATGAATAACATAACAGTGTTGCAAGGGGTGTTTGACCTATACAATTTAACACATTTTCGGGGGGTTCTCGTGGCCTAGAGGTTAAAGTGTTTGCCTCTCTTTCAAAGGTCACGGGTTTGAATCCGGGTAGCTACGGCCAAATTTTCTTCTCTAAAATTGTCTCCTTTCACTTCCTTTCCTGCTCTCTAGCAATGTTCTGTCGTCTGCTTTCATTTCCACTTTCTGCCCCCACCCGCTCGCCTCCTTTGCCCCCTCCTCTGGGCTCCTGACTCTTTCTGCAGCCTTTCTACTGATACTCCTTGGCTCCTTCTTACTGCTGTCTTTCAGCCACACTCCTGATCTTCTGGTAGGAAAAATCTACACTTACCCTTCTCCGACAAGGCCGCCACCCTGTCAAAATGCAAAATTTTCTACCAACTGAAATTGTTTAATGTGTCCTGCGCACTCATAATATGACCGTATGCAGTCGCGACCGTAAAACGCTTATTACCCCCCCCCCCCCTAAATTTTCGCACGTTTCACCTTCAGGTGCCCCTCCCTCTCCCCTCCCCCTCCCCCTCCCCCTTACCCTCCACCTGTCCAGGAAGCTGAGAATGTTTTGGAATGTTGCAGGGTCTGTCAGGGAAATGACAAATTATATACCACATACAGCGTACTTTCTGCTTTCTGCTGGAGATATGTGCTATACAAATGTCTAACATGGAAAGCCAAACTTAAGTTCTTTTTCCAGGCCTGATATTATGATTCGAAAGAACCTGGTATCTTGATATCAGTTGATATCTCTGTTGTTGTTTTTTCCTGTCTATACTACAAACTTTCTGTTTTCTTACCATAAATGTTCCTTATTGTGTCGATGTACCTCCCTTTAGCCATGCAACCATGCACCTCTTGATGTTGTTGCTCAAATAGGAAATACAGTCGAACCTTTCCAAGACAACTACCCATTGTCGAGAAGAAAATTGGTCATCTTAGACAGGCGGTCTTCTTGAACAGTGTCATTATGATATAGAAAACACTCAGAGGAGAAGTTGGAAGTGGTACATTGTACAGATGATTGTCTTGGACTGGTGGTCATTAGAGCAAGTTCAACTGTAATTGTTTTTTCATGTCTTTTTTACATAATCGTCATCATGTCTTTTGTCTTGTGTTCTCACAGGGTGACCGTTCTAGGGACCGGAGCAAAATGGCTGTCTGTATTAGAAGACAAAGGTGTTAAACCAGGTGAGAATGACCAGTGGGATAGTTACCTTACTTGTAACAAAACCATAAGCGTATGGCTTTATAGCAGGCTTTATTGTTATTGTTAATTTAAAAAATTAAAAAAGAAAAAATGTTGCAAGATTTCTAATGTTTCCATTGACACAAGTTAGATAATCTAAGAGGCAGGCTTTGACCCTGCTCATCAAGGCCAACTGGGGCTGAGAGGGATACAACGTTGCAGCTGAGAGAACGAGATACTAGATAAAACACCATTTACTCCTGGGGCCTCAAAGTTGCTGCCCATGAGTTGAAGGCCTCTGGTGTTAATGGTATAAATGCGGACTGAACTCTATAACCCTAAGTGGATGATGGGAGCGTCTAGTGAAACTCATCCATTCCGCGAGTGGGTGGTCCCAGTGTGTGGTCAGACTGCAGCGTGCATGAGGTATTACTACAAATGCGATCCCTTATGAATCCAAATAAATATATTTGGACTCAAACATGTTAGAAAACTATGAAAAGTATTTTCTTTTTCACTTTGACACAATTTTAGCCATTTTATGAATATTTTACGTATATACCCTGTTACATGTTTCTCGAGATCTGGAACAAATTCCGTCAAAACTTGCAAAGTATTTCCAGCATTATAGAGTTAAAACATGCATAATTTGTAATCACTCTAACTATATTTTTGTCTATTTGGAACCTCCAGGAAGCACACACAGTCTGAAAACCCTCAGAGCTATCCTGTCTACGGGCTCCCCTCTGAAGCCACAGAGTTATGACTATGTTTACCGGGACATCAAGTCGGATCTGCTGCTGGGATCTATATCAGGTAGTTAGGAGTGGGTGGTTGGCGGGTGCTCTGGTGTGGTTTGCTTCTTCTTTCCTATCAAACATCTGTCCATCTGTCCTCTTTATCTCCCCTCCTTCTTTTTTGTGTTTGTTTCTCTCCTGTTACACCTCTAATCTATGGCACTTATATGACCTTATGGTGTTGCAAGTGCCGTAAAACGCTTACTAAAATTAAAAAATTAAATTAGGTAGTTAGGGCTGTGTGTGTTTGCATGTGTGGATGTGTGGGTGTGTGTGTTTGGCTTTGTGTGTGTGTCTGTGTGTGTGTGCATGTGTTGATGTGTGTGTTTGGCTTTGAGTGTGTGTCTGTGTGTGTGTGTTTGTGTGTATGTGTGTGTGTGCATGTGTGTGTGCAAGAAAGAAAGAGAGAGAGAGAGAGAGAGAGACAGTGAAAGAGAGAGAGAGAGAGAGAGAGAGAGATCACTGGACGATAGAGTGTTGTTTTTTGTGGGTT